GGGCGGCGCTGGCGCCAGGCGTAGTTTCGCGCGCCCCCTGCTGTCCGGCCGCTTCCAGGCTTCCCTTGGCCCCGGAGGTTTCGCGCGCCTCCTGCTGGTTGACGGTTTCAAGGCTCCCGCTGCCCCAAGTCGTCATGTCAGCCAGAGCCTGAGCAGCCTCGGTTTCTTTCTGCAACTGACAAGCTGGATCTAAACGCCGTCGCTTAGACGCCGGGGATGGCGGGTCCCAATTCCCACCGTCCGAGCTCATGGTAGCTTCAACGGCGACCGCACCGAGAGATCAAAGTCTGGTAACGAACAGGATCCAACGCCGCGAACTCAACCGCCGATTTCAAAGTGGGGGGGGAGGAGGAGGGGGGAAGGGAACGACGAAAACGGAGTCCTCTAACTGCCAAAGCGCGAGAATCCTGCGCAGCTTCTTTTGATTGGCTGGTGTTCTTCAAGGTCTGGCCACTGGCGTGGACGTTTCTCTCCTCACGTGGATATTCCTGACGCGGATTGGCTGATTCTGAGTAGTAATCTCCGATAGGGTCCCACCTTCCTCCTGTCCCACGTGGGGCCCCTAAACGTTGATAGGCCAACAATTTGCTTCGCCTCTTCCACTCTCTGGTTCGTCCAATCTTTGTTGGGTCTTTTTATCTACAAACGCTGTTTCGGTCGCATCCGCCGGAAAAGAAACAACAATTCTGTTACCTCCGGGGGAAACGAAAGAGCATGCGCATGCGCATTACGAGTCTTCGCACGGGCGCGGTTTTCTTGTTATGACGCATGCGTCATGGGGGCCAAGTGGCGCGATGTTTTGCGTGTGCCGAATCTCCAAGGGGAAAAGGACGGGGGGATGGTCACGTTTAGGCGTGGAGCGGTTGGGGGGTGGGGCCTCGTGGCTCCCAAGATAACACGTTTCGCAGAAAAAAGGGAGGAGGAAACATGCTTTGTGGCGAGAGACAGCAACGCCTAATGTGTATCAGGGAGGCGTAGAGGGGGGACGGGATTGACAGGTGGGACGCACACACATACACAATTGGGTGGTTCCTCCCCTCCCCCCGTAATACTTAAATCGGTTTTCAGAAAAATGTACTGAGGGATTATGGCTTTTGGAGTACCTTAAGAGTCAAAGGCCTTCAGTAGCTAAATGAGCCAAATGGAAGGTCCAAGGTTAAAAGCACTATATCTAAATACCCGATACTAGGGGTGCCGGGGGGAGGAGCTGTCACTTGAATATACTGGCCAGGGGCTTCTCAGAGGCATCTTTCAGGGATTTTAGACGCCTCGGTGGGTCTTTTGGAAGCGAGGATATACCTGGATAGAATAGCACGATTCAAACAGGCAATTTCCTTGGTTTGAGAGTTTGTGTCATTTGCTCTACCATCTAACCCATCTGGTTTCACTCTTCAAGTACAGTACTGTACCAGAAACCACCTGTGATTTAGGTGATTTCCCCCTGTTGTTTATCACTGTTAGGCACAAATTGTTTCAACTGTGCCTAGTGTTTCAGAACTGCATCTCGAATGGCGGAAGCTTTGGGGACTGTATTTGGTTTGGCTTGTGCCTAGGATGAGGTAAATGTGAACATGGGCGAGGAATGTGTTGCTCTTGAACTATAGTTCTCATTGTCCTTACCCGGGATAGCCAATAGTGATGGGTATTGGAAGTTTCAGTTTAACGACATCTAAAAAGCCACACTACTGTGTGCAACAGTGAAAGGTGACACTGGCAGAGCATCTTTCATAAACCAGGACAATAATGCTCAAGTTAACCTGTTAAAACTGAACAGAAGAAAGCAGTGGTAAACTAGTTCTGATGATTTATACCTAAAAAAAACCCTATGATGAGAACATTCGAAATGATTGAGGATGTTGGTATCCCTGTATGGCCAATACACAAGCCAAGCAGTATACAGTATATAATTGGAAGCAAACAATGGAGAAGCTCTATTTGCCTGCAAAAATAGAGTAACTACATGAGTAGACTGTGGACGTAAAAAATCAAAATAAAGTTGAAGAAGAACACTAAAACAAATACTGTAGTCCCCAAATATAATTTATGTAATCTTTCTGAAAAATGTGAAAGCCACATAAAGCAAGAGTTCCGAAACACAACTAACCATGAATCAGAAAAATTATGGAATGCAACCAGAGGCATTACCAGAAATGAATTGCAGAGAAGTCTATTCCTGCAGTGGAAACAAAAGCTTAGAGGGGTGAGTGAGGAAACACTAACATTCTTGATAAACCATAAGAAGCAAAAGTAAATGGTGACAAAATAGGATAATAATCCAAAAGGGAATTTTTCAATAACTTTCATATACGGGGAGAGAACCTTTAAAATGTTGAATACAAAGAAATGGAATAAAAAAACAAACAGTCATACAAATAAAAACACACACACCAAGAAATCTCTTCCTTAAGAATCAAGGGGAAATATAAACCTAAATCAAATATGCTGAAATATTAACAGAAGGATATATGATCTAATCAGAATGAAAGAAAGAGAAGATGGAAAAAATGCCAAAGAATTATCCAGAAGAGAAGCAAAAATAACAGATCCTGTTGTGGAAAAATATTGTGATGAAGAGCCAAGAAATTTAGAATAGGGAGTAAAAAGTCTTTTTAAGCGATTACAATAAATCACCAAAAGAAGATAGCATACTAGTAGAAATATTTCAAACTACAGAGAATGCATCTATTCAAATTCTAAAAATAATATACCGGCAAATATGGGAAATAATCATCCATAGATAGGAAGCTGTCAATATACAATTCAGTCCCAAAGAAAGGAGATTCCAAAGAATGTAATGACTATAGGATCATTATGTTAATTTCCCATGTAGACAAAGTAAAGCTTAAGATTGTACAACAAAGACATCTACTGTATATGGACCCAGAAATGCCATCTGTTCAAGCTAGATATAGAAGATTCACAAGATGTCACATTTCAGGTATATGCTGGCTACTAGGGTGGTCTAAAGAATTTCAGAAGAAAATTTGTGTTTTTTATATTATAATAAGTGTGCATCATGAAAACTATGAATTATTTTACAAGGAATAGATGTGCCACATTTGATTGCCCTGATGTGTAACCTGTACTGTAGACAACAATACTGTTATGATAGAATATGGAGAAGCAGAATGCTTTCCCATTGGCTTAGAAGTCAGACAAGGATATGCTTTGTTCAGCCTATATGCAACACACATCAAACAAACAACTGGAGTCAATTCAGATGAAGGATTAAAAAACTGTCAGGAGAAACAAATAATTGATAATATGGAGATGTTAACATACAGTATAACCTGAAATGGAGACTAAAGAACGTTAAAGAAGAAAGTGGGAAAACACTATTACAGCTGAACTTTACGAAGACACAGATCATAACTACAGAAGAATTACATAACTTTGTAATGTTGACATTGAACAAATTCAAATAGAGAAACATTTTCTACGCCTTGGTAAAGTCATTAGTCAAAATGAAGAATGCAATCCAGAAATTAGAAGGCTGCAGCTTAGAAGTTTAGTTATGAAGGAATTAGAAAAGATCCTTAAGTGTAAGGATATGTTGCTGGAAGCTAAGGCCAAAATCATTCATACTATGGTATTCTCTAGTATTGTCTGTGGGTATGAAAACTTACGGAGAAAGCTGAAAAAACAAAAAAACCACAATCTATTTAAAATGTGTTGGAGGGGAGCTTTATAGATAGAGTGGAGAGACAGAAAGATCAGCAAGTAAGTACTACATCAGAAGCAAGCCTGAACTCTCACTAGAAGCTAAAATGCCTAAATTGGAGATATTTATGCATACAATGGAAAGAGAAGACATACTGGAAAGACAACCTGCTATGAAAAGTAGAATGCAGTAGGAAAAGAGGTAGATTTAGTATAAGATGGAAAGACTCAGTGAAAGAAATCATCATCTATAGTTTCCAAAATCCGAGCAGGGCTGGAAATGATAATGATTGTTGTTAATTTCTGGGATTACCACAACTCTGAAGTGCTTGATGGAACATAAACCACACATTCTCTGATTGCATCAATTGTATGCTACTGCTTTAAGCCTCATTAATATTTATTTTTGAACATCTTAAAGTCTAATGTAGAAAATCTAAACAACCTTCTTGAATAACTACCATCTTGCACCATTCCAGTTCATTTCAGTTGGGTTTTAACTCAGGCAGAAATCAGTTTGGAGAGATTTCATATGTCTGTGTCATTTCCCCACTTTGCTGCTTTTGTACCATTTGAGGTAGCCACATTGTTCAAAAGGAAATGCTACTTCCTGTGTATATTTATAAATAAGTCTCCTGTGTCTTGTCCAGCCAGGTTAAAGCAGATAGGGTTTGATGCATTTCTCACATTTCAATTTAGCATTTTAGAAAGGAATTCTTTTTGGTGAATAGAGGTATTCTATTGATGCCCTCTTTGTCTCTTCCCAAAGGCTTTAGTGGGAGCATGCTCAAATTCCTCCACATTACACCCTTCTCAAAGTAACACTGATGTTGCACTGTGAAATCCCTACATTGCAAACTTTACAGAGCTACAATTAGCAGATTTTGCACTGCAAAATGCTGACGAAACACTGTATATACTCCATGTGCAGATGTCTGCCTTTCTATGTAGACTTCGGTGCTCCTCGTCTTCCTAAATATTAATGTGCTGGCAAATTCCTCCCCCATCTTCACATATTTTCCCTCCCTCATGTCTCTTGGGGGTTGATTTATAGTTTATAAGCCCCCTTATAAAGGAAGCTGTCCTATCAATCTTTATAAAACACCATGTGTTATGTACTACATAAATAATAACAATCTACTTTTCAGAAATCCCAAGATGTATATTTAATAATATAATATCACAAAGAATTATAATTGATCCCTTGCTACAATCTTTTCAACTCTTCCACACACACACACCCATTTCATTTTCTGCATGCAGACTGATCTGAATGCATGTTTCTGTAATTCTTCCCAGAAGTGGAAATAAAATGGAGGAGGCACAGAAGAATAGCAAGAGATAAAAATCATAGACTGAAGTCTTGTTGCATGGTGACACAGAAGGCATAATGATTGAAAGTGAATTGCTGTAAGTCAAGAAATCTCCATTGACCTTATCTGTCGCATACTGAGTCATACATTGTGGTGTGCGATAGATAAGGTCTATAGAGATTTCTTAACCTAAGGCAATTTGCCTTTGAAAGTTAACGCCATTTGTAGAATTGTGGAGCAGGATTTTAGTCATGGTTTGTACCTGCAGCAGCAGTTATGTCCCATAACCTGATTGAGACACTGGACTGGAATAAAGCCACTGCTTGCTGTTAGAGGCTCTCAATTTTCATCATCTTTAGTAAAAAGCTAAGTAGCAGAGCTTGGAAGCATCTCTTTGTGGGATCTCAAAGAGCCATTGCAAGAATAAACTACAGTAGATGGATCTTTGTCTGGCTTGGCATAAATCATAGGTAAGGTAAAGATAAAGGTTTCCCTTTACATTTAGTCTAGTTGTGTCTGACTCTAGGGTGCGGTGTTCATCGCCGTCTCCAAGCCATAGAGCCAGCGTTTGTCTGAAGACAGTTTCCATGGTCACATGGCCAGCGCAACTAGACATGGAACGCCTTTACCTTCCCACCAAGGTAGTACAGTACCTATTTATCTACTTGCATTTGCATGCTTTTAAACTGCTAGGTTGGCAGGAGCTGGGACAAGTGAT